GGTAAAATGTGGACTCACGTGATAACATTTGGGGTTGGTCCACCTCTAATTAGCTGGAAGAATTTCCTAAGAACTGTTTTCTGTGCCTCATGGTGTATTTCATAGAACAAAATGGGACTCCGTTCCCTTTTGCCATTTGAATCTACCTTTTTTCATTTCTTATAGAAAAGTATTCCACACAATTACCATGAATCTTTTAACTGAGACTAGCCTACAGTATGGGCAAAGAGTACTGAGACCAAAGATCAGTGACCACTGAACCTTCCTCCCTACTATCATCTTGCTTTGGCACTAAAACACATCATTCAAACAAACGATTTCTTTCTTGGACCACCATATGTTTTAAGAAAGCTTTATACCCCAGGGGTTCTGTTTTAGATTCCAGCAGGTTACTTCATTAAATGAGCATATCAAATTTGATTGGAAGTTCTCATCAGCTTTCTGTTCCATTTAATTTTATTTTTACACAGATGAAGAAATTACTGTTACACCCATACCCACTGACAAGCCAACTACATTACTTCACATCTACTTTATAACCACATATAATTACATAACCTCTTGGTTTATTTTCTTCCAGAACTCATGGCTCCTCACAGAATCTATTTCGTCTGATCTAAGAGGCAGATTTTGACCTGAAAACTGGTTTTCAAGACATTTACATGGTTTGAATTTTCCTATATTGAATATTCAACATTCATTAACCACAATTTGATTCAAGAAAAGAAGCAAGGACTTTAGTGATAGAGTCTGGTGAGGCTATATTAGTGATGGTAAAAGGCAAATCCAGCACCAAAATATTCTGCATTAATCTTATTATCATGGGAGAACGTCCATCTTTTCAGCCCCACACTGTAAAATCTCTCTTAGCACAATGCATTCCTTCTACTTTGTTCTCTTTAATCATAGGCACTACAGTGACTTTCCTATCTAAAAGATCCAATCAACATATTACTTTCAACTCTCATGTTATTCATTGATTTCAGAAATAAAGCAGCCAAAGTTGCAGAGTATTCTCACCAGTATAAACTGAGTACTACCTTTGATAGGAATGGAGCTGGCAGATTACATATATGTAAAAAGCATGTAACTGGGTAACTAAAAATACAGTGAAAATTATCATCTGTCAATTTTTGCAGGACCACGGTTTTGCACTAATATAAACTCACTGACATAAGTTAAAGCTCCAGTGTAAGACTGGAGCGTAACTGTGGTGAAATGGCCCCTAGGATTGTTTTCACTGCTTATCCCGAGTTGCATTCCTAAACACATATTCACAGACCACAGGGTCCATTTGTTGTAATTTATCACAATAGCACTAAACAGTCTGGCATAAACATATTCTTTCTTTCATGCCAAGAAATGCTATGCACCCCTTAGATCCCAGATAAAGCACATGGAAAAGAAGGTAAGGTGTTCAGCCCTTCTTGTCATCAGTCCATCTTCTGGAAGTATGATTCAATGCTGCAGCCCTTCCTCCAGTCTGCTTTATTTATTTGACTTGTGCTGCTGAAGGGCTAGCAAAAAAAACAAAAAACAAAAAAAAGAAGCTGCAATACTCTGATACCCTGCTCTCTACTTCTTATTTGCTTAGATATTACAATTATATATTGCAGAGTGCATGGAGACAGACTTACTATGGAATCCTATTTCTTGTTATAAAAACAAGCAAGCAAACAAAACAAACATGCAAACAAAAAAAATCCCCAAAACATTTCAAAATGAATTTCTGGCTGCTGCTAACAGAGTTAGCTGAAATGACTGAGAATCAGGTAAATGATTGGGTTGGGCTGTAATCATTTGCAGCTTCATGGGGGCAAGCAGGGGTTTCCAGGATCCCAACCTTCTGCTTAGAGCAGGTGCAGTGAGAGCAGACTGCCCAGAGCCTTGCCCAGGAGGTTTTGAGCATCTCCAAGGATGGAGACGCCATGCAACCTGTTCCAGGTCACTGTCACCTCCACTGTACAAATATTTTCCTTGCATGAAGACAGAATTTTCCTTGTTCTAACTTGTGTCTGTTGCTTCTCCTCCAATACATCCATCTCATGCCACTGAAGGCTATTTTGTTCAATGTACGAAATAAATTTCACCACTCCTTAACTAAAGGATGTGATGATGTGAGGCCATTCACTGTCCAGGCATTCAAAAATTTACTCAGATCACCTTCTCATCTTTTGTGGCACTACAGGCATGAGGAAGGAGCTACTTTGAAACCCACTACCAAAGAGGAAAGCCACTGTAAGTGGTGCCATGCAGAGGGACTTTTAGATGTTTGGGTAGGGTGCTGGTGAAAGATGGGGCATAATGAGGTCATGGGGTAACACTGCTCCTATCTGGGGCAGTCCTTGTCCTGTGCATACGTGGGATAGTGCTGCTGCTCAGAGCAGTCAACCAGAAGCCACTTCTTGTCTGAAGATCAACACATTCTGCAGTCGCTGAAGGGAAAGTAATCCTCAGAGCAGATGTCTGGACCACATCAAGGTTCCCCACAAAAAAAGAGCTTGGCACCAATTAAGCTGAGCCTGAGCTGAGGAACTGTCTATGCCAGAAGAACACTGTCATATGAACAACACCAGCATATAATTGAAATAATTTATTTACCACTAGAGCACCACAAAAACAGACATACAATGTGTTAAAATACAGAGTAATCGATCACCAAAGTACAACACAGCTGTCCTTTAAGTTCCTTTTTTTTTTTTTTCCTTTTAAACCACGCCAACCATACAATTGTGTTGTTGCTAAACACATAAAAAATGCTGTCCTAACCCACTCAGCTAAGTGCTAAGACCCCCCTCAAGCTCACACAGCTCCTTTGGGTCTGACCTTTCAAAGTGCGAAACATTTCCTGCCAGGTGCTGGGCATCACCAATGCTGAGGGACTTTGCTGAGATGGTAGCAGCTACCTACTTATTGTGACAGTCTGAACTGTTGCAGTCCCATCTAAACATCATTTGATGGAGGGGGGGGGTAATCGACATCAGACCTGAGTGGTGTTTGGCCTCACATCACACCACTCTATAGAGGGGTGTTTCACCCATGAGTTCTGCACACTGTAGGATCAGGTCTAATAGCATCCCTGGTAATTAAGCGAAATACATGCCTAATAAGGTGGAGAAAAAAAAAGTTGTAGGAGATTTATAAGAATATCTCAAATACTATCAGTGCATTTTGAGGAAAAAAATCTTAAAAAAAAAAAGTATCTGATCTTGTGGTAATGATTTACAGAAATAAGGCTTTATGTTTAAATTTAGACAACAAAAACTCCAAACCCAAACCAAAATCTTCAGCTGCGTCCAGCTCATAGTGAGTATAATTGGACAACTATGCTATCTTGTATTCCACTTTTCCAAAGCTTCAAATCCACTCTAAGTTGCATTCCCGTAGCAGAGAATTGCAAAAATGTTCTTAAGTCTTTTGAAATGTGTTCATCCATGTCTCCCTTCCTGTCCAACAAAAATACAGTTCTCATACTGAACCTGATAAAACTAATTTTGCTGCTGTATGCAGCAAAATCCAGAGTATTTACTACCCTGAGGAGTTTCACTGAGTTCAGTGCATCTTCTCACTGGAGTAAGTCTGGCTCAAGCAAGTGTAAGCAGGACAGATTTTTCACTTGTTCATTTCAACTCACTAAATAAATCAGAAGTCTAACATACCTCCTCCTCTGTGCTGAGTCAATGGGTGGGATTAGATCATCTGTGGGTCTACGTGTCCATGTAGGCAATAAGCATAGACTCTGCTGAAGTCCCGAGGAGCGGCGGGTGCAAGCCGCTGCGGTACTTCAGTTTTGCATCAGTGTTCTGCTGAAGTCAAAGAAATTGCACATCTTAGAACTGGAGCTGACAACGTAAAGCTCAGGAGCACGCTCCTGACACCACTCAGGTCAATGACAGAAAATGTCCTTCTCATCCAAGTAGCATGTTTCTAACGCAGTTTTCGAGCTTTGCCATGCAAAACCATTCATCATATGATTGTGTCTTCTTCATGACTTTTTTTGCCAATTTAAACTTTTTAGAAAAGAAATGTATGATGTGGATTATTTTTCAACTCCCTCTACAATATTCAAATGCGTAACAGCAACAAAGCCCTAGAGACCCCATATTTCTTTTTCCATTTTTTTTCTTTTAATAAGTTTGAAAACTCAAAAAAAAAACAAGTCTGACCCTGCAAATCCTGCCATGCCACTGCAAGAAGTTAAAGGCAAGCCTCTATTGGTGTGTTGGGAGCAGGATCAGCCCCACAACTTAACGGCAGGGCAAGTCCTGCCGTGTGTGAGCCCAGGGCAGCCTGCTCCCATGCATGCCCCATGCAAAGGCATTGCTGAGGCAGATACTCCGTACCAGCCCTTTGCACAGGAGTGGATGTCACTCTCTGCCTCTGAACCGCATCGCGATTCAAGGGTTACAAATGGGGATGAGAGAGGAGGGAGGGAAGGAGGGGAGGAGAGAGCACTTCAATCCGTCCTTTTTTATAAAACAAAAACAAAACAAAACAAAAAAAACCACAAATGGAGTCAGGTAGCTTATGTCATAATGATGAACAATATACAAAGCACATGTATAGCAATTATTATAAAACATGTATTTGTAGTGCAAGTCAAAATATAGGGACTCTACTCATACTGGCCAGCTAGAGGGAAACACATGATTCTGAGTGATCAAAAAGAGCCCCAAATTCAAATTCAAACTCATGAGAGCTGACAGTATTACAGAGTACAAAAATATGGTGAAAATTTACACATTACACATAAAGTACTTAATTTTTTAATAGTTTACAAATAGAGATCTACAGATATGTTTCCAATTAAGCTGGCTTTTACTACCCACCTATTGCAATACTCTAGGTATGGTTACATATACCAAAAGAACAAAAAATCCCATAGCATAGCTATACAGCAACATATTAAGGTCTGAAGATTAGACCAGTACATGTTAAATATTTCACTGGTTTACTAAACTGACATTTAAATCATTTACAGTAAAAAAAAAAAAAAAAAAAAAAAAAAAAAATCTTATAGACTTGTCTTTGAGACTGAAACAGAGTGTCCTTTATTAGTAAGTTATTCAGTATTTAAAACAAGGGTTTGAGACCTTACAAGAAGCCTCTCCAGGCAGCTGGCATGAAAAATAAGGTATTTTAAAGGCAGAGTTTCTCAATAGTGTAATAACTGATTTCTATTTAAATCCAACTAAACTAACCATTACTTTCTGAAACTTTTGAGCTTGTGTTCCTTTAGGCTTTCTATGTATTTCTGGCAGCTTATTTGGTCTCCATTTTGTCCACATTTGCTGGTTTTCTTTTTCCAATGGCAATATGGAAATGTTCATTTGATAGTTTTTACACACAAATAAATAATGCACTGTTAACTCTACAACTAAGAGGAATGGGTAGGATGCCTATTGCATAACAATACAGAGAGATCAAGTAAGGCACGGGACAGATACAGCAACTCCACTTCATGGGATTTTCCTGTTTTTTTCCTTTCACATAGTAACACTAACAAATTTCTTCCAGTGTTTATTTTTTAAAAGGTTTTTTTTTTTTTCCTTTAACTTTGCTTCTTGTCTATCTCACACTATGTGTAGTGAAATGTAAGATAAAGGCCTTCAATGTTTTGCTTCAGATGCCAGTTTAAAAAAAAAAAACAAAAACAAACTTTCAAACAGTTCAGACTAGTACCGCTTTTTTTTCTTGTTTTTTTTTTTTTTTTTTTCCTTTTAACACTGATGATCCTGGGTTTTCATTTTTCTTTCTTTCCTCCTCGCTCTCTCTTTCTGTTTCCTTGATTATTATTTTTATTTTTATTTTTTGATACACACACGTCACGTTGTTTCTGGGGTATCCTTTAGCTGCATTTGCAAGACTTTACAATCATGTTGGACAGCTGTTCAATTTTGGGTGTTTTGCCAATGTAGTAGAGGATGGTGAGGGGTTCTAAATCCTGGGACACGCAGCACGGAGAGGCAGAAGCTTCTGGATTTATGGTGTTATACAAGCTGAGTACCTAGAAGGAGAAAGGAAATAAGAGATTAAGACGGATTCCTCTGCCTGCTCCACTCTGGAAAGCAAATTCCTTTCTGCATCACTTCCTCCTCCAGCGCCTGGGAAAAAGCCCAGTGAAATCAGAAGAAAGATGCCTGGATTTGAATATTTTTGCATGCTTCTCCAGTTCAACCAGGTGTCACAAACCATCTGAGCTTCCTACTGTTTTATCCCCACAGCCTTAAATCTTAAAACATGTATGTACCTGCAGGCTGACTTGAAAGCGTAGCTCTTCAAAGCAGCACACATGCTGTATTGATAGGGAAAGAAGAGACTGAATGACTTTTATCTGCAACTTCAGACTGTCATTTACTGTTGGCAGGATTTTGGTTTTACAAGAGCACCAAAGGGAGAGGAGAGTCCTTCAGCACATGAGCATTGCTTTGCTTTCTCATCCCTGGATACTTTTCTGTAAATCCACTAATGCCACCCTTCAAGAACCATGACTACTTCCTCAGTAGTCCAACTGAGGATCAGCTGTGGCTGAGGACCAGCAGCACTGGTACTTTATGTCACATTGGATTCATATGCATGGTTCTCTGCAAGGGAAGTATGTAGGGTTACCCACTGATGATTCACAGGTATTTCCGAGGATGCCATTAATGTGTTAGCTAAACACTAAATGACCTTTTCCTAGAGCTTCAACACTACATTTACGGCATTTAGAGACAGAAGACCTGTTCAGGACAGCAACACTAACTACTTTATTAAGCAACTTCTGCCTATTTGGGTGACTATCCAAACCACATATTTGTGATCATGACAGTTATTCTTCCTCTTTCCTTTAAAAACAAGTGCTGCTCCCAACAGTGTACACTACTACTCCACACAAGCATGGAAACATAGGTTCTATTAAAAAATATTTACCACTGTCAGCTGACAGCCACTGCTGATACTAAAATGCCACAGCCACTGACAGTTACACTTAGGTCTGAGCCTTATGACTTTACAGACCAAAAGGAAAGCAATCCCTCTCTTGAACAAGAGGCTGACATTGATCTGATATTTTAAGGAAGGTTAGTAAAAAAGGAGACATCATCCTAGTATGGACCTGAGGGTGAAATTCTTTCTTTATGACAACTGCAGTGCAAATGCCTGCCTCATACATTTACAGTCTAGACATCCACATTGACAGCTGAGAAAAATAAGCACTTCACAGCAGAATATCACTCATTCTAAAGTACTTAGCTAGAATAACCCATCCAATCCCTACAATAAAAGATTGTATCCCAACCATCTATCAGTTCATAAGCATCCCAGACACAAGGTCATTCTTGCTCAAATAAATTTTCAATGTACAAGAATGAATGCCTCTTTTGAAGAAGTACATCTATCCCTACATCATCATGAAATTCAGCATGGTAGCAGATCACTAACAATATAAAAAGAGCAGCTCATAAAGTAGGTGAAAATTGGATGGTAAGACTCAGCCCCATAATCATTCTAAGTGCCTTGGCTGAGGAAAGGAACTCATTGCCATTTTGCACTCATGCTCTTTACTAACTGGTCCCTTTTTAGTTAGCCTTCCAAAGCTTATGCTCATGCTTATGGTCACAAAGAGTATTGGATACATTCATACATTGTATTGATGACCATATTAAAAAAATATATTTCTGGATCAGTGCATGACTTCAGCTTTAACTCTAGTCTGGGGCACATGCAAGTCCCTCTTTAGGGTCATATTTTCTTATGTACTGAGATAACACGTGGAAGCTTCAGGCTCTTGTACTGATGACAGTCCTAGAAACATATTTCACCATGCAGTTTTAAAATAGAAGCCCATGTCCCTAAGCGCCACATCTGCCCTTTTCTTGAACACCTCCAGGGACAATGACTCCATCGCCTTCCTGGGCAGCCTGTGCCAATACTTCACCTCTCTTTCCAAGAATAAATTTTTCCTAATATCCATCCTGGATCTCCTCTGGCGCAACATAAGGCTACTATCTGCACCAAAATCTTTACTTACTCTGCTGTGCTGAGTATCTGAGCTCCATAAATATGGGCAGGCTCCTGCACAGAAATTGGCATGATATCCTTTAGGTTCATGAATCCATTTCCAGCCAAGATCCCTCTTGAAGTCAATATAAAGTGGACGCAGGCAACAATTATCCTGCACATTCCTGGAAAATAAAATACAGACAAATGCATTGGCTATAACAAAGACAACAAAGAGAATAAAAATAATCCAGTTGTTTGCTCCCTGAATGATGGTTTAAAAACAAGTTAGAGTCCCAAAAGTTCACAACCTAATCACATCTGTTGTAGCTTATACTGTAAATGAAATGAGATGCTTATACATGACAAAACTTGATTATAGAAAGCTAATGGAGGATCACTGAAGTACTTTTCTCCAGGTCCTACTGAGTCACCTCTCAGCACAGCAGAGGTGACAATTTGGTTATAACTATGAAGCTGATAGGCTTGGGAACTCCAGGTGGAACTCAGTTTCTGCATTCTGAGGTCCTAACCTTCCTCTTCAGGCACTGTCTCCATGGGAGTGGAGCACACTGGGCAGATATCCTTTAGGCATGGACACTGTGGGTCTGTGAACAAGGACCATGCTCTGTAAAATGCCTACCATAAAGAAACGTTTGCTTACATGATAAGCAACTGCATTACAATTCAAAAGCTGGCGAAGTTTTGTAAAGTATACTAAATATAGATGCATAGTTACCTAAAACAATAGGCAGCATCTAGAGCACGCTTCTTCCGCCGACTGGGCTGTTGCGACTCAAGTCTGTAGGAGGGTAACAACATTAGCAGAAGATGTGGGGTCTTCCCACTGTATTTTTTCCTATTGGACTTTAAAGCTTTCACATCACCACTGGAATATGTGTAGTCATCAATACCTTCAAAAAATACATTTTGGTGATAAACATTATGTTGCTATTTTCTTCACAAATTAAATAAACCATCTCTTTAAAAAATGCTACCAGAACCTGGGCAACAATGGCATCAACTGAACACATTTACTGGGAAAGTTGAGCCAAATTTCAGCCCAAGATCCCAAATATATTCACAGTTCTCATGCATCTATTGTATCAGCCCTCCCATATTCATAGCCACTTAATGGCACTTCAGTACACTTACCAAAATTGTTGAAATGAATAACAGAAAAGATATGTGGAGTCCCTTCAGCCAATGCATTTATATTCTTTAAACCAGTTTCAAATGCCCAAAGCAATGATGCTTTCAGTACTTCATTCAGGGCAGTATTCTAACAACTTGCAGTCTTGTAACAGCTATGCACCTTTCTAAACCTTGTAATAGCATTAAAGCTGCTCTGGATAATCAACCTGCATTTCCCACTGCTTACTTTCAACTCATTAGTTTTCTCCATCACATTTACGTCTTTCTAATGCATATAAATTCTCTGTCTCTCACTGTCAGTTTATTAAATTCTGCTAATTCTCTCAACAAAATCTGTTATTCTATCTCCTCCTTCTGTATGATCATGGCAAGGACACTGATCAAAATATTTATTCTTGCAGTGGAAATTAACGATCTCATATTTTGTATTTTCCCTTGAAACTCTAACTGCCTTAATAGCTTTCTTATCATAGCAATAGGATGGGCAAAAGAACCCAAGTTTTAGCCTTTCCCTGGAATTAAACAGCTCATGTTATGCCTGTTACTAAGATCCTTTTGAAAATTAACCTCCTGAACCAGATAATGCTATCTAAAGGAAAAAAGTTACTTTTTGTAACATGCAAAAATACAGAGATCAAATATCATACTAACATTGCTTTAAAATGCACACAATGGCTTTATTCATATCTACAATGCATATATTTACTTAAGAGAAAAAAATTCCAATGCAGTGAAACAATGGTTAAATAAATGTAATATTTGACAAGGAATACAGCCAAATCCTTGGAAAACCAATGAACCAAATCATGATATATTTGAATAAATGAAAACTTGATAAACAGCATGAGTTGATAATAGTATAGGCTCTACTTCAATACACATTGATTGATGATAATTCTGGCATCATCAGTTAAATAACATTTCCCTATTAGAAAGTGAAACCTGAATGGCTCAAAAACACAGTGGAGCTTACTATATATCACTTTGTCTGCTGTCCACAGAAAGCATATATATCCATAACCCTTATTACATAATTCTTTCTTTTTATTACTTATTCAATCCAATCTTTAAGTTTTTACCAAGTTATCAGCATAAAAGGCATTTGTGCAACTAATATATAAGTAACAATAAATTGCAGATGCCAGTGATGGAGAGTATATGTATTGAGATAACCAATATTATATAATGTAGTTCTATTGACTTCACCTGAGACTGAGACACTGCTGGTAGTGGGAGCACACTGAACAGACATACCCCTTCTGTTACTTTAACTCACAACTCACTTGGAGTGGACCATGGCAGCACATTTATTCAAGTCTGGCACCTATTCTTCAGTTATTTCTGAAGCAACTGATGCCATTGTTCAGATGAATTTTAATATTACTGATATAAATTAAAAAAAAAAAAAAATGCTGGAGTTGCTCACTGCTTTCAAACAGCTAGAAGCACTTTTGCAAGTATTTACAAATACCAGGGTCCTTCATACAAAAAAAGAAGGTGCCTCTGTAAGGAAACCAGCCTACTACTGCCTTACCTACAGTTTAGAAATTTGCCATAACAAGTATTGTTTTTCAAACATACTCTTAAAACACACCATGCTCACACATCTACTGCAGGCAGCTTACACAAGTGCCAAACACTATCTTAATTGGACTCTTCAGTAATCTTCTCTACTGAAGCCTGAACTGTTGCAGTGCTAGGATGGACAGCAAAGGGTTTATTCTGAAAGTATTCAGTACATTTTCTCACGATTATCCAACAGTTGATGGTCTACTGTGCATTAGTCTTTCCTGCATCCAAAACTGTATGTGCATATATCCAGTGTGGATGCTGCAAACTTTAGCAGAGATATTTAAGGACAAAGCAGCTGCAAGCATGGAATGAGACAGCTTACTCATGCCATTTGGTTTTAGAGTAGTTCAGTTGGTTTTAGAACAGTTCAGCTGACAGTTATACCCTTGTGCCTTTAATACAATTTCCTACTAGTTAAGATTCAAGATTCTCAAATAAGTAAATTTTCCATCAGGTGAATCCTATTTTAGAGAGGTAAGAGATCTTTTCCCCCTCCCCAATCAGTTACACAACAATAAAATATATATATATATTTTTCAGTTGTTACCTGCAAATCTTGCTTCAAGCTCCTCACTTTTATTTGGGATGATATAATTATTGGAAGGCACAAAGGTGCAGCATGGACAATGTAAGCTTATCTTAAATCCAAGGTTCCTGTCTGCAAAACATGAAAGTAAGTGGAATAGGTTTTTATGAGTGGAATGAGCCTGAAATGCTGCTGAGTTAATAAATGACGATTTGGGGCAGGAATGAAGACAAAACACTGCTTGTCACCTCTGTGATGGAGCCATTCATGCACAGCCTCAGTGACATCAAAAGACAACCACTCTCCTTCAGCTCTTGTTTTAACCACTTTGCTGTCAATGTAGCGCTGTCCTGGTGATGATAATTCTTTGGACTTCAGAACCTGCAAGAAATAACAAATATGATTGTCTGCAGGTTAATACTTACCAGATTCGCATTAAAGTGGACCACCAGCATTATAAAAGACCAGAAGAAATTATTACAGCTCAAATTTCTATGCAACAAATGTACATTCAGTCAAGTTTTCAGTACTGAAAGAAAGTACAGTATGTCTTAGTTTCTACAGAATCATTACTATCAATTACAATGGCAACAGCAACAAGCATTAAATTGTCTGACTATTGCAGAAAAGGACTTGGCTAATGGAGTCTTTTTCATTTCCCTTAGAATAGCGCCGCAAAAGGACTTTACCCACCATCAGTTGCTCCACACTTCAAAGTCCTCATAGGGCTACCATGTCATTGTTCTGCTCTGTTGCTACTGCAGCATATCTTGCTGTTATGATGTCTGACTTTCAAAAACCAAGTAAGCATGCCCGTATTTGCTTCCTGCTTTACAAGGAATCTTCTTTGAGTATGTGGGGAGAGGAAGGTGATGAAAAAACACCTCAACAAAATAAGCTTTTGTCCCCAAGCAAAACATGCCATCACATACTTCTTCCTAAGATAATTCACAAAGGATGACTGCACTGAAAATTTGTCCTGCAACACTAGTGGTGAGGGGAATCACAGCAACTGGAACATCAGAACAGAGGCTATTCCACCTTCTTTAGTAACATACTGGCTAGAGTATATCCAGCAGAGACCAAGGGACTGGAAAACCTCTCCTATGAGGAGAGGTTAAGAGAGCTGAGATTTTTCAGCCTGGAGAAGAGAAGGCTCAAGAGGAATCTTATCAATGTGTGTAAATAGCTGAAGGGATGATGCAGAGAAGATGGTATCAGGCTCTTTTCATTGGTGCCCAGTGTGAGGACAAAAGGCAGGGGGCTCAAATTAGAACACGAGTGGCTCTATCTGAACATCAGTACATATTTCTTTACTGCGTAGGTATCAGAACATTGAAATGTGTTGCCCAGAGGTTGTGGAGTCTCCTCCTTGGAGATGTACAAAAGCCACCTGGGCAACCACAAGGTGTCCCTGCTTGAGTAGAGGGTTGGACCAGATGAGCCCAAGAGGACCTCAACCATTCTGAGATTCTGTGCTATCAAAAGATAAGTACCAAATAGTCTATGCACTGAAGATATGATATTGCTTACTGTTAACTAATCAGTAGATCATCAGCACTTTCAGTACTGGTTACACAGTAAGAAAACATTGTCTATACAGGTAACCTGTTGGCAAGGCAAAACCAGCCAGGTGTGAATAATGGCCACACAAAGATCTGTGCAACAGATGATTCTACTTCCATCCAAACCTGGATGCCAGCTGTGTTTGTATTTGAGTAAAAAGTTTCAGCAAAGTTTGCTGCTGAGCATGCAATAAAAATTACCTATACAAAAATCCTCAGCTCCTCTCCTTCAAGGCACAGAACTGCATGCCTGGAATTTCAAGTACTCACTGTCTTCCTTGTATCTAAACAACTTGAGTGACTGCCTTCTCACATACAAGCATAGGCTGCTATTATGTACCTTACCTCTAGGATAAAAACAAGGGGGCTTTCAGCTGCTAAAAAGTTTCTGGTTTCCAAGTTATTGCTACACTGATAGTTTTGTGATGCAGGAAGTTGGAATGCCACACCATGTTAAGACAACTCCTATCAACATATCATACAATAACATCACTTTTCTAACTTTTAGCATGCCAGTGTTGTGAGTCTGTATTTTGTTTTGGGTTCTTCCACTCTTTAGCCATCCAAGTCCATCTCCAAATGAGTAACTCTCAGACATGTCTCATTGTTTCCTCCCATTTTCTCAGTCCAGACCAGCCTGATATCTAGCAAACCACTCACACAAAGCAATGATGAAACTGCATAATGTATATGCAGAAAGGTATTTCAAAAGAGGTGTGAAACTATGTCACCATAATAAAATTAATCTTTTCATAATGAAACAGAAAAGCAAGCTTGAAAAAGCCAGACTCTGTCCAACATATAGAGATTCCTCCCTCTTTATTTCAGATGAATGCTGGATCTCTCAAAATCCAACAGTGCAGCAGCAGCTCCTACAGTATCAACTATACTACAAAAAGAACAGCAATCTGATAAGCTCTTTGCCTTTCTCCTGATCATCACATTTACAGCAGGAGAAGGGAAAAAGAAAGATATGAGAAGATGTTGGCCCTAATCCAGAAAATTAACAAACATCACTAGTAGAGGATGCTAATGTCTCCAGTAGAAATTGAGGGCACTCAAACATTCAACACTAGGACTCCTTTTTACAGGGCACCCTTCAAACAAAGTGTTTGAACAACTGTTTACAGAGAATCTGGCAGCAGCAAGGGGACTACCATTGCCCAGAAGTGCCAGAGAGATGAGACAACCCAAAATCAATGCTGGGAAAGTCCCAGAGAAGTACAAATATAACTTTGCCTTCCCTTTGGTCTTTATCAGGTCAACTCAAGTGTTTCTGAGGACGTAATGCAGCTGTTGCTCTGCAGCGATGTGTTGGGGGTGCAGGGGCAGGGGAGCAAATGGGACACAAGAACTTGGCTAATTTTTCTTCCTTTCTGCACAGTCATATCTTTCCACTGACTCCAGAAACTGCATACCTCGCAGTTTTGGCAGTGATGTAAGGATCTAAAAGTAAGCAATGTGCCAAAAGTAATCTCTTGCTGTTAACTATAATTGGTCTTAGATGTGTTTTGAAAACTCAGTTGTGCTTCGGTATCCAAAAGAGAATGCCTTTATCCCAATCTCACTCCTATGAAAGGACAAAGTCAAGGATTGGCAGTGTCCAACAGGCACAAAAGGCATTTATAGAAGTACAAGAGATCATCACTGCACATGTTCAATAGCACAGAAAACATCCATCCTGACCCATGAACTGAATTATAAGAAAAGTGATTGCACGTTTCAGAACTGAAGGACAGGACAGACAGCATAGATTAAAAGAGCTGAATTATATTCATCCTTCAATGTCTATGGTATCTGAAACTTAGGCTTCTCTCCTTATGGTTTATGTAGTGTGTTCAGGAAAAAAGTTATGAGGAATGGGCTAAAAAGTCAAAAAAACTAAGTATAGCATAAGTAATTTCCACAACTGACATCATGCATTAAACAGGCACTAGTAATTCCTAAGCAAAATGTTGCTGAGTATAATATGAGTGCCACACACAGTGAAATTAGCAGGCCTGCTTCAACCTCAAGCAGAAATGATCTTTTAGCCTCACTGTTTCCATTTCCTTTTTTTTTTTTTTTTTGTATGTGCGTGTGTGTATGGAAATTGCAGTTCTAACACAGAGCTAATGGATGATAAAATCCTAGGCTCATCAGTCTGTTTCCTCCCACAAACCCACCAGATGAATGACTCTCTTCACTTTTCTACATTGCATCCTATTTCCATCCACGCTGAAGCAACTACTTCCCGCACAGTGAGAATTCAAATGGCCTCTTTATGGGAACCTATCAGAAAGTCTAAAGGTTAACAATACATTCTTCAAACATGCTCCCAATAACTTATTACAGGAGATATACTTTCTACTAGATCAACTAGCTTAGTTAAAAAAAAAAAATAAAAAAAAAAAAGAAGAAAAGCCTTTTGTATGCCTTGCAGCTCTAGCGCTTGAAAGCTTGTCTACTTCTTCCAACTACACTATAGCTCTTAGAAGAGATATTACCCTTACCTATAAACATTGCTTTGTCTGTAAACACTGCCTTGCCTTTATGCTTAGCCCATTGCAACCACATCTAACACAATCAAAAATGTTGTTGCTCAACTTGTATCTGCGGGGTGCCTGAAAGGTGAATGTCTTTGTCCAACAGTTTTCAGTGCTCCAAGTAAATTAACATAAGAAAAAAGAACACTGGAGAGAAAGAAGATTGAACTAAAATTATAGTTCAGTCTTTTCTCATTTCCTCCTGGAACAGCATCCAAAAAATCTATCTTCAAGAGGCAAGAGGACTTTGGTATGTCTATGGATTATGACCCAGACTGCTAGAGCTTTCAGGGCTGGGAGTACCATCTTGGGGAAGAGCACACCACCTACACATAGAAATGCCATCCAATCACTTGCTAAGTAGGAGACAGAATTTCTACGCAAATCATCTCACCCCCCTCACAAGTGTATGCACAAGTAGCTGACAGTGCACAAAAACTGCATGAATGCAGGTATGAACATGCACACCTTCATACGTGCATGAGTGAAAGCTCAAGACAAACAAAACTCGAAATTCATGCTGTGCAAAATCTTTACAGTTTCTAAACATGGGGATGTTCTTCCACATATCTCTCTTTATTTAGTCTCTTCTCCAACAAAATGATAATGCAATGCTGCCTTTTCTATAAAAGGATTATGCATAGGCATATGATCACATTATAAAAGGATTAGCTGAATAGGTAGAATGGTTACAAAAACAGTATCCAGCAGATTTCTAGCACAGCATGCAGAAAAAATTTCCTTCAATATCACTGCTATTACTTTTAAAAACAATTTGGCTTTGTCTGCCCTCCTTTTGCATGTAATTCTTTCCTTTCTCATGTAGGCAAATATTTAGCCAAAACTTCATTAATCTTTACTTGACAAAGTAGCTTGTATTCTCAAGCCTTGCCTTCCAGCTGTCATTACTATGGGCATGCATTTCAAACTTTGCTCACCATTTTTTTTTCTTATTCTGAGCCTCTTAAAAGCACTCGAGGAAAAGAATTATCTTATGAATATCCAGGAAGAATCTCAAGTTATCACATACATGCAGCTACTGCCAGCATGACAAAGAAAAACACAACAGCAGATACCTGAATATTGCAGGTAACTGCAGGAAATGGATCATAAAGCAACCAGATAGACACAAACAAAGCATTGCTCTTGCTTGTACAGCTATGTGTTTGAGAAGCCCACTTGGTGATGAGTGCCTTCACATGCCACTCTCATCAGGCCTGAAAGAATACAAGTACCTTATAAATCCCACTGAAATCTTTTACTCTTCACTGGATCTCTAAACCTGTTCTAC